AGTCCATGAAAGTCATAGGTGCCCATGGTGGGGACTCTGTCAGTGTTGTTCATGGCAGTGCCTCCAGCACCTAGAACTGTACTGGGCCTCAAAAATGAATTTGTTGTTCAGATAAATTAAGTGGCTTAGAACTTTGGAATCTGGCCTAATAGAACCCAGGTTGTGTGTATGTACACACGTGTGTGTGTGTGCACGTGTGCATGTGTGATTGTGTGTGCTGGACATCTTCTCTTTGCCCCTCTAGATCCACTGTCCTCCCTTGTCTACTTGTCTCTGGGCCTAAGGAAACTGATCTCTATGTATACCTATGGGATCAGATTGAGTTCAGCCAAGGGGAGGCCCCATCAGGAGATCTGAAAATGGGACAGTGAAGTCTCAGTATTTATTCCTGGGGTGTCCTCCCTGCTAAGGAGTCAAATGGACCTCATTCCCCCATTACTTTAATGACAATAATAATAATAATAACAATAATAGTACTAATTGTTATTTACTGAGATTAAATCTGGTGTTGATATTTTTATGTAGCAAAATGATATGATAGCATTTACTTTTTTTTTAATTTTTATTTTTTAAAGATTTTATTTATTTGCAAGAGAGAGAATGAGAGACAGAGAGCATGAGAGGGAGGAGAGTCAGAGGGAGAAGCAGACTCCCTGCCGAGCAGGGAGCCCGATGCGGGACTCGATCCAGGGACTCCAGGATCATGACCTGAGCCGAAGGCAGTCGCTTAACCGACTGAGCCACCCAGGCGCCCGATAGCATTTACTTTATACCTGAATTTTGCAGCACAAAATTGTAGACTTTATCAATGTCCTCAAAGGTCTCTCTTGATGATTTGACATTCATACTGTTCTCTTCTGGTATCCCTATTCTGTCACCATGCTTGTAAGCTTTTTCTTCTATTGTAAACAGGTCTAGCTTTGCTAGATCTTCATTTGTCAATGGATGGAATATGTGATTGAGCAACTTTCCGATATCAGTCATTAACTTTATGAAATCTTCACTCTTATGCAGTATATGTCATTTTGTGAGCAATATGTTTGTTGTCTGGGTTCCCCTGAACTTAGCCCAATTATTGTGTCATAATGTTGTGAGCCTTTAGTGTTAAGTGGTTCTTGTTTCTGCAAGAATGACTAGCATCCTGTTTCCTAAGCTTCTGGTGTAAGAGAATCCACATAGCACTTAAAAAAACACTTAGTTCCTGTGGGAACATTTTTTTCATGATAAAAATAGATACATGGTAAAGCCTGAATTCTTGCAATATGTAAAGACTATGTGGTTCCTGGTTTCTAGGGCATAAAGAATATGTTTCCACTTTGTTAGTTGTTCTTTGTTCTTACCTTTTTTCTTTTTACTTCCATAGTTTCTCTAGAAAATGAAAATTTCAAAATATACAAGATCTAAAGCTAAGATATTGGAGTCATTTTAAAGATAAATAATGGATAATTAAATGAGACAGTATACATAAATGTACTTTTAAAAGTATCCAAAATTAATGACTCAGGTAAATTTGGTTTTAATATATAACAGTATCAGCCATAATGGATAAGTTCATTATAATAATCACTAATAAATTTCCTAGTAACATGACAAATACTTGGAAGTACATCTCATAAAGTATTAGTGAAATGTTAGATAACTAATTTATTCATTTTTACATTTATTTTAGAAAAGGATTTTTATCATATTTCTAAGTAGCTTGCAGCTATGTAGGTAAGTTCTGTTCATTTCTTCATTTTATTAGCTCTCAGAATGGCAGTTATATTCTATAACATTCCCAACGTATTTGCTTTGTTAATCCATATAAACTACACTTCGTGCCTAATCATTAGGACATAATCATGGTGAAACTTAGATGATTGTTGGGGGCATCACCATTTAATTGTGATAGTTATTATTTTCATGGTATTCTTACATGGGTGCTCCATCAACAGCTCTGGTCTGAGAAAGCCCACTTGGACCCTTTATATTATCCACTTTCTCTCCTAGAGCATGCTCATTCAGTATGACACCCTGATTTTTGCAGATGCTTAGAGCAAACATTTCTAGGTCATCTTACATTTGTTCCTCTACTGCTGTCCCCACCCCTCTTTCTCCTCCTTCCCCTAATCATCCATCTAGGAAGTCATCTTATCCTGTTGCTTTTTACCAGAAGGGGAACAGGAAGGAGCATGTCTGACAGGGAGCTATGAAAGGAATGACAATGCTCCATGTGGACAGGATACTGACTGAGTCCTGGTGGAGAGCAGTGGTGGGAGATGAACAGGGTGAAGAAGACCATGGAATACCTTGAAAGTCTTGCTTAGGAATTTGGAGTTTATCCTTTACTTAGAGGGAAGTCACTGGTAAGCAACCACAACCACAACCATAAGCACAAGCAAAATTGGAGATTGGCATTGGATGTGCAATGAAAGGAAAATGAGGGAGTTTCGGGTGCTGCTAAAAGAGGGATTGACAGGAAAACAGGGAACATGAGCTTATCAGGGAAGAAAGTAAAACTGAGGGTAGAAGGGATGGGCCATACTGGGAGAGAAAGGAGTGATGCAGAGAGTAGTTTAGAAAGAATGAAGAAGCAGGACAAGTAGAAGATGTATGGTTGTGGTCAGAGGGAAATTTCAGAGTTGAAGGTTTGAGAAGAAGATGATCCTGGGAGTCAATTATTTAAGGCCCACAGTGAATACCACTGAAACAGATGAGGGGTGAGATACTAGGAGGCTAAGGGCTTTGGTGTTATGGGGGCTATTGATATTGCATGAATGGATGGCTGCATTCAGAGTGGAAAGGAAATTTTCAACATTTGGAGAAGGATGAAGTAGATGTTGGTAGATGCTGGGAATGGGGCAAGGCAGAAGAGCTTATTGCTTGAGAGCACTGGCTGGGTTTGAATCCTGGCCCCACCACTTTCTGATCATGTAGACCTGGGAAAGTTAGGTCTGTACCTTTGTTTCTTCATCTGCAAAATAGGGATGATAACAATAATAACTGTTTCCAAGGTCATTATCAATATTACCCAAGATAAAGCATTAAAGCACTCAGAAAAGTGCCAAGCTCACAGTGGGTGCCCAGTCAATATTAGCCATTATAACTTAGAAGTAGAGAAGTAAAAGTTATTTTTGGTCTTAGGAGGCAGGAAAATACTGGATCTCCTTCCTGTTGAGGGCAGGGGAAAAAAGTTCCTGGGAGAAAAATATATCCATGTTTAAAACAAACTCACAAGGAAAAAACCCATCTTTGTGTACTGTAAACATTATTGAGAATCTAATGTACCTTCTTGGCAATGGACTGAGCTTCCAGAGCGCAGGGGAATGACAGCTGTCCAGAGGATCTGACTCATGGCCAGGACTATGGAAAACAGTGATGAGAGAGGTAAGGGTTGGGGTATAGACATAAGAGACAGATGGACTACTTAACCTTGGAATTTCAAATGGAACTCTGGAGAGGAGTGGTGGGTAGTAGTATGTTTGCAAGGTCCCATTCTCTGGTGTAGATAGTAGATATGGTTATGACCAGTGTGGTAGGTGTATAAGAGCTTCAAACTGGAGTTTTATTACAGTGCATTTTAGTTGAGTGCATTTAGTTTAGTTCTGATTTCTGAGAAATCAGAAGATGCCATGGGGGACCAGCTCATTTAAGCAGATAGGACAGATTCAGATATAAAATACTGTATTCCCTTTGCTCTTAGAATTTGCCCTGAAACATTTAATTCTACCTATATCTTAAATCTCATTTCATTTTGCTTTGGATTATTGAATTTAGTCCATAGTTTACCTTTTGGATGTAACCCACTTTGTCTTCCTGGTTGTAATTCTTGCCTTTTTGGGGAATAATTTGACTACCCTTCCTTAAGACACAGAGTCTCAGACTACTTTGGGTAACCCCCTATCTTAAACTTGGTTCATTAGAAACATACTTAAAGATGAAAAGTTAGGTGCAGAAAGTTTATTGGGACGTGCTCCCAGGAGATATGCCTGTAAGGAGGCAAGGAAGGCAGGATAGGGCAGGAAGAGAAGCTGATGTGCAGTGAGGTTGTAACTGAGGCCTTAGCCAATCCTACAGGAGCTCTATTGTTGTCCAGCTTGAGGCCAAGGAACCAGATCTTTATATCCCAGCACTGGCCTGTCATTGATTGTGGACTACTCCCCAGGAGTGGGCATAAACTTAGGTGAGGTAGTTCGCTGAGGCTGAGGGACTATCCCAGTGAGGGAAGCATCTAGGAATCTTTATTAGCTGACATTTTCTGCTGATGAAGGATGGATGTGTTGGTCCTGGAAAGCAGCCCCGGGCAGAGCACCACAGTATCTACTATACCCTCTTTCTACCATCTTCTCTTAGTACCTTCCAGCTGGCCTTAGTTTCTTTAAAGTGTTGGGGTGAGATGGGGGATGAGTAAAGAGAAAGGTAGTCAAAGAGGGAAGGTAGGAGAAGGCTGAAATTTTATTTTACATCCTTTACAAGTTTTCCTGGGGACACCCACAAGAGACAAGGCCAAATACATCACAGGGAACCAAGGCTAGTGTAACAAATGTAGAAGTTACCCCCATGGGCCATGCAAAAAAGAAGGTTTGTACATTTATACCACACTCTCTATCCTTAGCTGCACATCTACAGACCATCTTTACTATCTATGAGGTCATCATCCCATTTGGCAACACTACTGCGGAATTACAAAGAAATTGTTATACATATCACATGGCTGCTAACAACAAGGAGGATGAGCTTTCAGTGATTATTGAAAAGTTAAGGGACTAATTATGACAAAACTACTGCCTTCTCTGGAGAAGTTACCGTTACAAAAGAAAGAGCAGTGAATCTCCCCACTAGGAGCATTTTTTATAAGATAAGAGCTTGGCTCCATATTAAATTAAAGGTAATATAGAAAGTTTTAAACTCTGAGAGGCTAAAATAATGGCAGTTCTGTTTTAATATATGGAGTTTGGGGATGCCTGATAAAAAAGTACCATCTGGGCTGTACCAGAGCTGTAAAATTAATATCCACTGACCTGTTTGAAGTATGCTCTTGTGAGTGATTGTGTCTCCGGCAGGTTATTTGGCTTTTCTTAGCACCAAAAATGTGCATCTTCCACCATAGGTATGGAAAGATCTTCTTTTAGGGGCAACTATTTGAATTATTTCCCCATGATTCCAGAGAATTTTTGATCCCCTGACCACCAGGAGGCCACTTTCAATACTTCCAATGTCAGAAGCAAAAGTCATGGAACACTCCTCCCATTCATTCACTGGGAAAATTTCTAAATGATGACAATTCTCTTATTCCCTGGAAGAGAATAAAAGAATATAGAAGCTATGTTAGAAAGAAACTTCAGATATATCCCTCTTCATTAAAATGTGAATTTCACTCTAAACGTGCTCATTTCCTAAGTTGTAAATTATAGTCAGAAAAAGAAAATAAATACAACTTGGCTATTCCCAAGTTTATGAAATCACATAGTCTTTCCTGATGAAAAATTCCCTGCTCAACAACCAATTTGCTGCTAATGATAATAAGGTCATCCAAGTGCACAGCTTTTGGGTTTCCATGGTACACACAGTGACTGATTAAAATTACCCAGCAAAACCATGGAAGTGGGCTGTTATACTGGTTGGAAAGTTGTGTATAGAATGAACCCTCAGGCATTGATGGGAACTGGTTAGTCAGTCTGCTATTAATTAGCAAGGGAACCCTCTCCTGTTTTAAATAATTTATATCTGCAACCAAAATAGGCAATAGAAAGAGTATAAAATGAGGAAGTATTACTGCTTGCCGGGAGGACTTTTCCAAACACAATTTACCAGCATAAGAGGTACCTGGGTTTGAACACAGTTCACCCTGTGACAAAGCTCAGCCTAAACAATTGACCCTTCTGATGAAATTTTTTTAGTATGTTAGTATGTTAAACTAGTTAATCTATTTAATATGTTAAACTAGTTAATCTACTAACCTAGGTATAAGGAGAATGTGGTGCTTTCATATCTTTGTTGGGCAAACAGCATCAGACATTTTTCATTGTCTATTCTGTACTTTTAGGGAAAAGAAATATATCCTTGACTTAGATCCCAGACCATTCTTTTTTGTGTATTTGGCTTAAATCGCTGACAAAGCCATTGAAATAAGTGCCATTTTATTAAATGGGAAAAACGTAGATTGATTCTAATCATATAAATAATAAATTCTCTGAACATATAAAATACTTCTGGAGCTACATTAATGCACATTTGCATTTCTCTTTAATATGAAACAGCTGTTGTATTTTTCATTTTATGGCATTTTAAAGAGAAGGAAAGGATTGGGAACCAACATGAATCACAGGTCCCCACTACATTTCATTAAAGACAATATCACATTAATTCCCATTGCTTCTGAGTCTGATGGAGAACAGAAACTTGCTTCATTTTTAAAACCCTGAAAGTTAACATAGAAACTTTAATGTAAACATTTAAATTATCAACTTGGAATGAGAAAGTGAGTCAGCTCTGATATGCATCAGCTTAACTGCACCGCTCTGGATTTAAGAGCTGGAAAGGTATAGAACTTACTTACATAAATCAAATCATCCTGATGAAAGGTAGCCACGTAAATCCCCATTTCTCACCTGGCATTCTCATTTGGATAGAAGAATTGATTCTTTTAGCAGTGGAATAAGCTGCCTTCCTTCTTTTGTTAACATGGTTTCTTTACAATTATGCAAACTAAATTTCAGTCGCCTTCCTTATCATGGCCTTGGGAAATAAAAATCAGGCTGGTTAAATATGGCTGATGTTTTTCATTATAGTTTGATAACCTACATTCCACATACAGTAACCAAACCTGGATTTTTTTTCTGACATCCTGAGCTGAAAATCAAGTTAATTTTTAGTCACCCTGAACTCATGACTTCATATTTTCAATAGGATTCTGAGTACTCACTCTAAGAGGATACTTTTGTTCTCCTTTCTGCCTTCTTTCTCCCATGATTCTATACTTTGGCATTATGGCTTTATAGAAAAAAAAAAACCCACTGTATTTTGGAGTCAAGTATATGTAGGGCAGGATTTTGACTCTGCTTCTTGTCTGCTATGTGAATTTGGCAAGTTAAGTGAACATTCTGAACTTTAGGATCTCTGTTAAATGGGAATATTTAATTGTTGCCTCCCAAGATTTTTATGAGGGTTGAAGGAAATAATATGAGTAAAAATACTCACCCCATTGTCTAGAACCCAGAGGACAGATGGTGGCCTTCCCTGTCACTCTCTCTTTTCCTTCTTTTTCCTCTCACTTCTAGCTCAAAAGGGACAGCGGCTGGGCGGTTGTCAAGGACTCTCTCAGCTGCAGGCTGAGTGTCTCCCGTAGTGTATCAAGTGGTATGAAAAAGCCTCCTGCAGATGACATAAGTCACTATAACTGTATATATGACAACATCTCTATTTGTGTAGAAATTTTAACCCCAGGCTCAGCATGACACATCATTTCCTTAAGGCAAATCACAAAAGGCTGTCTGAAGGCATGGAGAATCCCAAAGTTCTCTAGGGATATTTGAGTGTAGGGCACTGTCTCAGACTTGGGGTAGACAGAATCTATGAGTCCCTTTCAGGTATCCCTTTCAGGGCTCCTGGAAAGCTCTTTGACTGGAAGTGAAATAAGGGAGCAGAAATCTACCACACCAGGGTGTGGCCATGATCAAGACCAGACAACTCAGAGTTAACAAGATCAAGAATACATGCCAGGATTCAATGGCTGGCAATATAATATTTTATTCTTACAAACAACTCTACAATGCAAGGAGAACTCCTCATTTAATCACCTTGATTCTTACAACTCTTACACAGTGAATATTATTTGTCTAGTTTTATAAATAAGGAAAGAGAAGCTCATTGAGACAAAACCAGTACCAAAACCTTAGTCTTTCTGTAGCTGAAGGTAGTGGTGTGTAGAACGTGCACGTGTGGACTCTTCGAATCAGACACCTTGGCTCATACCCCAGTCCTGACACTTCCTTGCTGAGTGTCCATGGGCACTTTATTGAACTTGCTTGAATTTCAATTTCCTTATGTGAGAAATAGGAATAACTACTGGGTTGCTCTGAAGATTCAATAAGATAATGTTCAAACACAAACCTAAGAATCTTTCTTTTCTCACAGTCTTTTTTTCCTTTTTCTCATGCAACTCCCAAACCTCTCTTCTTCTAGCCTTTCTCATTTCCACAAAGGGTACCCCACCCACCGATTAACTGTTCAAGCCAATAACTTAGATGTCATCCTTGATTCCTCTCTTTTCCCTATTGTCCTCCCCACCTTTCAATCCAATCCACAAGTCTCTTGGCTCTGCCTCCAAAATACTCCATGAATCTGTCCACTCATCTCCATTTATGCTTTCATACACATGGTCTCAACTGGGCAATTGCTTCTGCATATGCCCCTTACAGTCTTTTTCCCACATTAGAGCTGACGTGACCTTTTAGAAATGTAAATCGTTTCATATGACCCTAGTGCTTAAAATCTTCCAATGGCTTCCTCCTGCACATAGACTAGAAAGAATCTAAACAAACTGCCTGCATGGCTCCTGCTTACCAGTCTGAATGTACCTTATACTCTTGTTTCCCATACCCCTGCCACATTGGGCATCCCAGGACTTTTGAACATGCTGCTCCCTCTGTTTGGAATATTTTCTCTCATCTTTTAGATTTTAGAATCTAAAAGCAAAGCTCAATATATGATCTCAGGGAGGCCTTTGGGCTCCCTATCTAAAGTAAATCTGTCCCAGCCACTCTCTATTACATTATTGCCCTCCACCTCTTCTCCCCCATTATTTATAGTACTTGACATACCCTATGTTATTTCTTTGTGTGGTTGTTTGATGGTTTATTGGTATTTGTCTTTGTCCACTAAAACATACTCTAAGGGGTCAGGGACTTACCTTGATTATCAGTGAATAGTTCTGGGGCAGAGGAGGCACTCAATAGGTATTTGTTGAATGAATGAATGAATGAATGAATGAATGAGTCAATCGAAAGAAGGAACGACTGAATGAAAACAGCACAGCATATGCAGCATATTCAGTAGTCTCAACTTTCTCTGTCTTCTTGTGGAACTTCCTTGTTCATTTTTAGAGTGTGTCACTTTCTTGATTGGTTGTATCAGTGACTGTTTTCAAATGATGCTATGCAGAGTTCAAGGTGATTCAGGATCCCCCAGTACCATGGCAGGAGATGCTAAATCATCTGGAATCCAGGACTTTGACCTTCCACTTCAACTAGAAGATATACACACACACACACACACACACACATTTTTTATGTTTTACCTGGTGGAGTTTTACGTGAGATTACTTTTGCTAAAAGTTTGAAAATCACTGCTCTCTTTACTCCTATTATTTACTCCTGTATTTTCTGCCCAGACCCCTTGAGAACAGGATTTATTTCTGATTCACTTTTTCATCTCCACACTACCTGGTCCAAGGTGTTGCCACATAGGACACTTAGAGATTTCTGGTTGGTTGAATGAATGAGGAAAACCCTAGAGACTATGGCCTAATGCAGCTCCATTCTATAGACCCTACAGTACAATTACTGACACTTGTTTGCAATCAGATCCCCGGCCAATCAGGGATTGGATGATTTTCCCAATGTCCTTATCACTGTCATTGTTAGCAAAAATGTAGTTTATGGCATTTTATGCTCCATCAATTACTTTCTCTTCTCTCTAACAATTTTTTGCATTTTGATTTACAGTTTGATTTACCTTTTCTGATCTGTTTGTACCCCTTAACAACCTTCCATTCATCCAGTTCTCCCTCTAGAGAGTTTAACCAGATTGGCCAATTAACACTTCCTTTTTAACAAACAGATAAATATTTCAGTCTACTCAAGTATGGAGGACACCTTGTAGTGATGAGATAAATCAGGACTTCCCTATAGATTTTTTTTTAACCTAGAGAGTGCATCCCTTGAAGCAATTACAGCAATAATAATAATAATAATAATAATAATAATGCATACACATATACATATTTCATGGTTATATATCCACTGGGAGCCTTGATTTCTCCTTGGACTCAAGGACTGGGGGATCACATGAGATTTCTCAATTTGCTTGGAGGTTAGATGGGTTCTGTTGTTTAATAATTATTATTTTTTTAAAAGATTTTATTTGTTTATATGACAGAGAGAGAGAGCGAGAGCAGGAACACAAGCAGGGGGAGTGGCAGAGGGAGAAGCAGGCTTCCTGCTGAGCAGGGAACCCAATGTGGGACTCGATCCCAGGACCCTGGGATCATGACCTGAGCCGAAGGCAGATGCTTAACGACTGAGCCACCCAGGCGCCCCTGTTGTTTAATAATTATAATATATGATGAACGTTAGTGCAAAATGGGTTTAGCCAAAATGTATGATGCCTGACATCTGTTTCCACACCTTCACCATAAGATCACTAGAATTATGTAGTATTATCATACATTCTAAAAGAGAATTTATCATTTTTCTATTCCAGATGGTTCTGGCTTCCCTGCTAACTAGCTACTCAGATAAATTGGGTGACAATTCTAAGAAAACACAATTCATATATTAAAGTGTTAGCTCATTCTAAAGAATGAGTATCACATTTTACGCTTTAGCTCTTTATTCATACAGTTACTTGCTATGTCTCTTAATGAATTACTGAGTTTGCTGAAACACTAAATTGTCTTTTTATAACTGAGGGACAATGAGTTGGCTTTTGATGGACTACTAATTTATAACTGTGCAGGTGATGGTCTCAGCATCAATCTGTGATATTCTTTTATCAAGACTAATTCCAATGTAGTGTTTCAATTTAGTTTTCATGAAAGCATTCAATTTGCATTTAAAAAAGTCAATATAGAATAATAAAATGTTGTCAACTGATCACTAATGAGCTGTTCCACTTGTATGACACTGCCCTTCTTACCATGAATTGTCTTGGACTGACATCCACTACTCTGGGTGCCAGCCAAAAAGACATGTGAATGCCTGCTGGTGCCATACACCCAGGGATACTAAATATGGATATACTGAATGGCTCTTTGACTATTTATTCCATCTATGCCAATGTAACTGGGTATGTGAGAGACATAAAACTGAACCAGACACAATATATAACCTAGTTGAGCAGTCATGAAAATAGCTAATAATAGTACAAAGGAGGGAAATAAGTGACCTAATGAAAGTCCAGCCAAGCTGTGACAGGAATCCAGAGGGAGGAGAGCTTGTTTTCCCGTGGAAGTTGGGAGGGCTTTACAGATGCATGGCATTAGAGCAAGACCTAAAGAATGAATTATGTCTAAAGAGGGCAGAAGAACATTTTTGACAATGTATTGGTTTTCTATTGCTGCTGTAACAAAAGGCCAAAAACTTAGTGGTTTAAAACAACATCAATTTATTATCTCATAGTTTCAGTGGGTCAGAAGTTTAGTACAGTAAGACTCAGTTGGTTCTTCACTTAGGTTCTTACAAGGACAAAATCTAAGTATCTGCAGGAATACATTTCTTTCTGAAGACTCTGGGGAAGAGTCGACTTTCCCCAATGAGCTTCCAAGCTCATTGAGATTGTTGGCAGAATTCAATTCCTTATCATTGTAACACCGAGGTCCCGATTTCCTGCTGGCTGCCAGCTGGGAGCCTCTCTTACCTCTTAGAACTATTTGTATTCCTCATCCCATTGCCCTTTCTATCTCAAATCTCTCTGCCTTCTCCTTCTACTGCATGTCTCTAACTCTGACCAAAGAAAGTTCTGTAAGGGGCTCATGTGATTAAATTAGATTGAGTCTACCCAGTTAATTCAGGATAATGTCCTTATTTTAAGATCTGTAACATTAATTACGTTTGCAAGTCCCTTTTGCTATGTAACATAACATAGTCGCAGGTTCCAGGGATGAGGCCATGTAGATATTTTGGTAGCCATTATGTCTACCACAATGATGGAAAACAGTCGAAATTAAGGGGCTCTTAATGGCATTGGTGAGGAGGTAGGCCTGTGCTGAGTGACAGAACAGGAAACTAACTGGGAGGCAAAGTTGATCACTTCTTTCCATGTGTTCCTATAATACCTTGGTGACTCCACTAAGAGTATACCCAGGTGTGTTGAATTGTTTTTCATTTCATCCTTGAGACCAGGGACCTGGCTCTATGCAGTTTTGCACACGAGGGCTAGCACTCTGCCTTCTCTCCTGATGGGTAATTGATACATATTTCTGCAGTTGAGTTGAAGGAAAGTGATGGTAATTGATGATAGAAAAATAGCATTTCTTAGGCCAAGGAGTAAATCTTTAAATGAGAATTGTCAGAGAGAGGTGGTAGGGGAAATAATTTC